GATAATAATAATATCTAATAATAATGTTAATAATAATATAATAATATCTAATTACAATAATGTTAATAATAATATAATAATAGTATCTAATTACAATAATGTTAATAATATTATAATAGTATCTAATTACAATAATGTTAATAATATTATAATAGTATCTAATTACAATAATGTTAATAATAATATTATACTAGTATCTAATAACAATGTGTGGGGGAAAGCAGTGGGTTCGCAACATAAGTAAATGCAATTTAACTTTCATTGACACTGGACGGAGTCAATAATTGACCGTGGATCAGTCAATAGTTGACCATGCGGTCATCCACTAAAACGCAGTATGCTACAAAATTTAGAACTATATTTTGTACTTCTAACAAAGTTAAATGCAAAATGGATACATTATAAATCGTAAACAAATTTAAATAACTCACGTCGGTAATTTACCACCCCGGTCAACTTCTAAAAACTTAGAATAACAAGATTCAGAATTTGACCCCCCAATAAACTATTGCTTTTTGTGGTTAGAATAACAAAAACGTTGCATTTATCACTTAGAAAACGCTGTGAGAATTTAATAAGTAAATAATTCAGTCACTAAGAGTTCGCAACGCATGGATTTGTTTACCTGAACCGTATAGCTGTTCTTAACAGAAACGTTAAGGAAATAGCAATATAGAGGCATATTACTTACCTTAATGAATTTAGACGTCCGTTGTTACTACGCATACTTCATTTCACATGTAATTGTTTTGAAATTTAATCGATAGATGTCTTGGCATGTCAGGTGCATTTTTTTGAAAAGAGAATCACTTATAAAAACCTTATTTTTTACGTTTTTCTAAAAACTGGTCAACTACTGGTACCTTTACCTTAATGTATTAAGAATTTCACTGAACTTTATGTGAATTTTAAAAAACTTTCGCTCAAGATAGATTTAATTTCAAAACTCCACCTAATAATATGTAAACATTAAATTTGAAATAATCACTTTAAAATTGCAAAAAAAACATTACTGGCCGTTAGATGTTTGTGTCCAAATAACAGATTTAAATGTCTTCGATGTAACTGCGTACGAATTTTATTTACAATTTATTTATTAAAACTTGAGGTGTGAAAACGTGTACGAAAAAGACAATCACGATTACGGGAAATTACGTTACCAAGTTTTTTTCTCATAATAATGAGATTGAGAAAGAAGAAATAAAAGATCTGTCTTCTACGGAAGAGGTAACTGTTGAAAAAGATACATATTAGGCAAACTCCACCGATAATACAGTGCCTTTGTTTCTAAACATCTGTTGAGGTGAATTTGCTAATAACGTTTGCATTTGTCCGTTATTGGAACGATTTCCAAGAAGAGTTCGAATCTGAAAATAAGAATTATCACATAACATTTTTATTTTTTCTTTTAATTAATTAACAATTCGTTAAATACCTTCTTTAGTTCATTTACATTTTTATCGTTAGAATTTAAAATCTTTTTTTCATCTCATAATTTTTTCTAATTTTAGAATTTTTTTCTTGTTTCCAACTGTATCTACCTTTGTCTTGTCACTTTCAAATTTGGGTAGCTTTCCTGATAATATGTTTTTATCAATACTATCATCAAGTGTTAGTATTATTTCCTCTTTGAGTATATGTGATATTCTCTCTTCCATAGTTTGTATATCATCTGATTCACATGTTTCTGATTCTTGAGGCTCATTTAATTCTAATGAATCTCTCCATACTTTAATTACATCATTAACACATGTATCATTGTAATTATCCTGGTCTGCGATCACTTGAATTTCACCTTCTTCTTCCAATTCCTTATCATTTTCTGAGACATTTTCACTTCTAGATGAATGACTAGAACATGATTCATATTCACTGCATTTGTCATTACAATCATCCTTGACCAAATCTAAATTGTTTATTGCACATGTGGTTAAATCAGGTAAAGCCTGAATTTCAGTAACATTAAATTGTGATGAAATTTCACAATATGAAAACCTTGGGTAATAAACATCTGTATCATAACTGCCACGCCTGTGCAAGTTTTCTTGGGATCTAGCTCTTAAACGTTCCATGGACTTTGGTCCTAATATAGGGGTTCTGTCAAAGTCTGCAGCTAGAGATCTAGGATCAAGTCCTAGGATATCATAAAGGTCTTTACTTATAGCAGTAAGCAGCTTTTTATTAACTATATCATTAACCGTGGGTGTCAAAAAAACTTCTGATTTATTTTGCTAAAACAATTAAATAAGCTTTGTGAATTATTCATAATGATTAAACAACAGAACAATAAAATATTTCAATAAAGAATAAATCCTAATGCTACAATATAAATAATTTTCGCTTTTTATTGTTGAATAAATTATAAAAATTTACATCAATCAATATTGAAATTACCTCTATTGGTGTTCTATCTATTCCACTTGTTACTGATCTAGGATCTACCAGCAATGTTTTATGAATTATCGGTGGTGTATTTATGTTGTAGCATTAAGATTTATTCTTTATTGAAATATTTTATTGTTCTGTTGTTTAATCATTATGAATAATTCACAAAGCTTATTTAATTGTTTTAGCAAAATAATTCAGAAGTTTTTTTGACACCCACGGTTAATGATATAGTTAATAAAAAGCTGCTTACTGCTATAAGTAAAGACCGTTATGATATCCTAGGACTTGATCCTAGATCTCTAGCTGCAGACTTTGACAGAACCCCTATATTAGGACCAAAGTCCATGGAACGTTTAAGAGCTAGATCCCAAGAAAACTTGCACAGGCGTGGCAGTTATGATACAGATGTTTATTACCCAAGGTTTTCATATTGTGAAATTTCATCACAATTTAATGTTACTGAAATTCAGGCTTTACCTGATTTAACCACATGTGCAATAAACAATTTAGATTTAGTCAAGGATGATTGTAATGACAAATGCAGTGAATATGAATCATGATCTAGTCATTCATCTAGAAGTGAAAATGTCTCAGAAAATGATAAGGAATTGGAAGAAGAAGGTGAAATTCAAGTGATCGCAGACCAGGATAATTACAATGATACATGTGTTAATGATGTAATTAAAGTATGGAGAAATTCATTAGTATTAAATGAGCCTCAAGAATCAGAAACATGTGAATCAGATGATATACAAACTATGGAAGAGAGAATATCACATATACTCAAAGAGGAAATAATACTAACACTTGATGATAGTATTGATAAAAACATATTATCAGGAAAGCTACCCAAATTTGAAAGTGACAAGACAAAGGTAGATACAGTTGGAAACAAGAACAAAATTCTAAAATTAGAAAAAATCATAACAGATGAAAAAAAAAATTTTTAATTCTAACGATAAAAATGTAAATGAACTAAAGAAGGTATTTAACGAATTGTTAATTAATTAAAAGAAAAAATAAAAATGTTATGTGATAATTCTTATTTTCAGATTCGAACTCTTCTTGGAAATCGTTCCAATAACGGACAAATGCAAACGTTATTAGCAAATTCACCTCAACAGATGTTTAGAAACAAAGGCACTGTATTATCGGTGGAGTTTGCCTAATATGTATCTTTTTCAACAGTTACCTCTTCCGTAGAAGACAGATCTTTTATTTCTTCTTTCTCAATCTCATTATTATGAGAAAAAAACTTGGTAACGTAATGTCCCATAATCGTGATTGTCTTTTTCGTACACGTTTTCACACCTCAAGTTTTAATAAATAAATTGTAAATAAAATTCGTACGCACTTACATCGAAGACATTTAAATCTGTTATTTGGACACAAACATCTAACAGCCAGTAGTGTTTTTTTTGCAATTTTAAAGTAATTATTTCAAATTTAATGTTTACATATTATTAGGTGGAGTTTTGAAATTAAGTCTATCTTGAGCAAAAGTTTTTTAAAATTCACATAAAGTTCAGTAAAATTCTTAATACATTAACACTTCAAACTCAAACATTATAATTCACTTTTGAAAATTAAACTGACCAAACCACGGAGACCTACCAACATATAACTTTAAATAAAGGACAGGGATAATTTTAGGAACTTATTTCTGTTTTTGTATTTGTTATATATGTATGTTATATTTTGTATATATTTAGTAACTTAGTGTAGTTTAGTTTTTTAGTTATTAAGTTAGTTAGTTTGGATCGTTAGTTTCTTTGGATACTGCCTTCTTTCTTATTTTCAGCATATGGTGTTTAATATAGCGTTTATACGGGACTGCAGGAATAAGAGTGTACCTACAATAGGCACATAATTGGAATAAATTGCAATTATGGAATCTTTTGAAGCAGGTATGAAATACAATAATTTAATTTTTACTTTGGTTCTACTTCTTCTTTCTTTTTTCCCCCTTATTGCTATTGTATTGTAAATCTGGATCTTAAAATTTGTACTTTTTATTTAGGTCCATCGGGGATTAACCTTCTTTGCCGCAGAAAATTAGTGGACCTCATGTTCCGACAAGTGGATTCAACTTTTCAAGATAAATTGAATTACGTGGAAAATTACGTCGTTATGAGAATTATACGGAAGACCAAATTAAAGATATTAGATACAGATTTTCGCACGTAAAAAGTGTACTTAAGCAGAAGTGGATTCAAGCTAGACGTAAAAGCGACAGATTTTACGCAAACAACAAGAATTGGTTAGATGGCACATTTGAATTGCCAAAAATTACAGGCCGATCGGGTCGACCATCGAAATCATTCGAAGAATCAAGTGACAGAACGAAGAGGAGAAAAGCCGCAGAGCTTCGAAGTATCATAAATACGGACGAAATAGTTTTTACTGCTCAAATGAAGTTGTAATCTTCGGGAAAACGAATTGCTTCGGCATTACTTAGAGAAGTCACTCGTTCTCCTAAGCGAGCTAAGAAATATAAAGCTGCTTATTCAAAGCTAGAGCAGAAAAATAGTGAAAAATTATCACCATTGAAAGCTCTATCGACGTTTGTTGAAGCCGGGTTTTCAAAACGACAATATTTAATTGTCAGGAATGCAAATAAAAAATTGTATCCATCGTACAATACCATAATCCAAGAGAAGACGAATTGCTACCCAGAAAAGCATTCATATCGAATAACATCGACTTGTGTTGAAATAAATCTTCAAGACTTATTAAACGTTACCGCCATACGTTTACTAATATAGTTGAAAGAAGTTTTGGCAAATTTAAGCGAGGATGACTGCAAGTCGTTAATTTTAATATCGAAATGGGGTTGTGATGTGTTGAAGCAAAATGGTTTATGAGTGCTGCATGAAAAATCGACATCCTGGAGTGTTGGTAGGTTTATGACACGTCCAAAAAATATGGTTTGGGGATGCCTGCGAACACCCCAGGTATGGGGGTGCACACTGTCACCACGCTCCGTAAGCAGTTCTAATTGTGCGCCCGTCTTGTCTACGTCTTGTCTGAACGTCTTCTAAAATATAATTATTTACCTAGCTTACTCCACACGAGTTATTTATTTAATATAACCCCTCAACATGATGGATCGCAGCAAAGTTATTTTAAACAAAAATTTGAGAATGACTTCGATTCCGATGAACATATCTTCCAATGTTCATTTCTTCCCCTGTGATTAAATTGTGTTCTAAATGATGAGACACTTCTATGGCAAAATCCAACGCCATCGTCACCACAATATTGTCGTCCTATCAGAATTAGATTCGTAAAGGAGACACTCGACATAATAAGAAGTGAAACAGATTATATGCGCGATGCAATAAATTCATTAGAATTCACAAAAATAAATTTATGGGGAAAAAATTTTTCAGTGGAACATAAAATGGTACTAACCATGGTTGATGATAAAGTATGTAATGCCATCACGAATACTTTATCTACAAGGAAATGTTACATCTGTGGAGCAACGTCAAGCGACTTCAACAATTTAAAAAAAGTGGAAGTAATAAACATAGATCCAACTAAACTCGAATTCGGATTGTCCATTTTACACGCAAGGATTCGACTGTTAGAAAGTGCTTGCTACGTGTGGTCTAGCGTTGTCATGCAAAAGGATAGGGCCTGGCAAAAGTGTATCGAACATTATGGAAATAATTTGAAATAAAAATGTTTAATTTCAGTGGTTTCGTGATTTTTCAAGAGAACTTTCAGGATGACCTAATACAGTGCCGTTTAGCAGCCCTTCAAGCGGGCAAGGGCACTCGCCGATGCCCGCGGGCAGAGCTCAGGGCGAAGTCGCGGGATAGTGATGTCACATACATTAAAACGAAGTGGGAGAAATACGCTTTTGGTAGGAGTAGAGGTCCTTCTTAAGACGGGCGATGGTTACTGCATACGTACATACATACTATGCGTAGATGAGATGTTGGCACACTACCAACAAGCTAAAACAGCACAGGGAACAGGGGAATCGTCTGCTCGCTCCACCCAATCCCCTCTAAGAAATCTTACTTTTAGGGTCCTCGCTGTGTCGCATTTGTTTCGTCCGCGTTCTTCATTACGCGACGGTCTTCTAAATATGATCTACTCAGCTAATAATGACAATGTATGTGAATAGAGGTGTCGCTGTTACACTGCAGCCACTTAGATTGGTGACTGAGCAGATGATTCCCCTGTCCCCTGTGCTGTTTTAGCTTGTAGGTAGTGTGTCAACATCTCATCTACGCATAGAGTAAGTACACGCACCGTTGCCCGAGAGGGCGTAGCTTGTTGCCCACTTATCTTACAAGATAACTGTTAAAAAATGCAGTATAAAAATGATAGATGTTGAAGAAAAAGAAATTATTGAAGCCCGCAAACTGAAGATGCAACAAGAATTCAAAAGTAAATTAGGTTTACTTGTTGATATTCCAAAACAAGGCTTTGGAAACACCAGCAGAAGATTTTTTGCTAATCCTGATTTGCCTATATCGCTTAGGAGTGATTTTGGAAACCATATCGAGTGGACATAAAATAAACACCGAAAAATTCGCAAAGTATACATTAGATACTGCCAAGTTATATACAGGGTGTCGCGTAACGCTGGGATCACCCGGAAATGAGGGGTTGCTAGGGTGACCCCGAACAACTTTTTCCTTATCCAAAATGTAGTTTGAAGCTTCGTTTTCGAGTTATTAACAAAAAACACTGGCCAATCACGGCGCCCGTAGAGCCAGCGCTCAGGGACGGGCGACCGTACGGCCTGAATGGGTACGTTTTTTATAAGAAATAAAACACTTCATTCCTTTCGGATAACGAATAAAAGTATCGAAGATACTTCCTGCAGAAGATGCGGTGGGGAGGGCCACTGGGCAAGGGACTGCAAGGGCAGTCTTGAATGCCCGGTGTGTATCTCCCTAAAAAGGGACGCGAACCACGAAATGTGGTCGCGGGCTTGCGGTGCCCCGCGCGGAGGGGAGGGGCGAAGTTGACGCGAGCAGACTTGTAAAGACTGCGCCTGCTTCAGGTAAACCTGAACAGGTGCAGTTTGGCGCAGGACCTGCTCGAGAAGAACATCGGTTCGATCGGCGCGGATGTAGTGGTGGTGGCCGAGCCCTACAGGGTCCAAGGGGGCTGGTACTCCGACGGCCGCGCGGGGCACTGTGTTAACAAGGACAAGAGTCCAAGTGCTGGCAGAAGGCATGAGCATTAGCTCAACTAGGTTCGAGATCAGAGAAAATTATTTCATCAAACCTCTGTTAAAAGCTGGTGGCAAAGATCCAGACTACTTGCAGATACCGAATGGGTTGATAGGAGTTAAACTAGAGGGCTTCTCCAACGGTTATATTACCTTATATTATAAGGTTAGGTTAGGTTAGATTAGGTTCCCCTCAGGGGCCGCGGAGCTGCAGGCCGCGGTACGGGTGCCACGATCCCGAGGTGCCCGAGTTGGTGTGAATGTGGAACAAATGGGAAAAAAAAAAAAAAAAGGTTACGAATGAGGAAAAAAAAAAAGAGTGCAAGAGGAAACGAATGTAATTTAAGGCGTGACTGTAATTTAAGGCGCGAATGAGAATGAAAGCATGAGTGAAAGAGGTTTAAAATAAGATGGAGCTAGATTAGGTTACATAAAATTTGGGGATTTGGTGGGAGTGCCGAGATAGGTATAAAGGTAGAGTGCGAACAGGTGGGTGGGCGGGCTTCTACGCTGTCCACCACCCGGGACAGATGGATAGGAATATCCCGTACCCC